CTAAAGGTGGAGGCCTGCCTGCAAGCTCATGGCCGGTCCTCAGATCCGGCCAACTCCATCCTGAGCTGGACCCAGGGATGACTGGCTGAGCCAGGGGCCCCATAAGAAAGGCGATGGAAACGGGGGAGCTGGCTCCTTCCACCTCCTAAGGGCCAGAGAGCGGGCAGCCGAGTCGGAGCAAGAGCTCTGGGAACCCAGCCCAGTCCCAGTGATGAGGGAAGTGGCGGTGGTCAGAGGAGCTCCTAGGGCAGCCTGGGAGCCACAGGGAGAGCACCTGAGCTCAGACTGAGGCCTGGGAACTCCCCTTCCTTCTGGGGACACAGAGGCGGTTTCCAATGGCAGGGAGCCCGCCAGACCCAGCGTCCTGATGCTCAGACCAGGCCCTTCCCTCGGCCCTGTCTCAGGGAGCTCCCAGCTGGGTGGGCAAAACCTACTCGGAGCTCCGGGAGGGAGGCTCACAGTGTAGCACCCCAGATGGCTGCCATTGGCTTTCTCCCACTGCTGTCTTGCCAGGAACTGGACTGGGGATATGCCAAACTCTTGGGGCCACTCAGTGGAGGAGCTGACAGCTGCCCTGGAGCCCCCCATCATCCATTCCAGTTTCTGAGCCATGGCACCCTGTCTCCTTTCCCAAAGCATTGTCATGTGGGGGGAGTGAGAGGCCAGAAGGTGGGGCTGCAGATCATCTTAGGAAGGACCTCTCAGTTAAGTCTTCACCTCAGTGGGGATTTTTTTAAGCTTCTTTTCTTGTTTTTGGTTTTCTGTCCCTAATTTCAGTGTCTAACAGCTTTGCTGTCAGAAAATGAGAAGTTGTTACTTGTTGTTAGGCTCTGGGCAGCCTTGCCACGCTCCTCACGGGACGCAGCCCCGCACTTACCTTCAAGGATGTGGCTTCTCTCTGGCCCCATTCTTGCCTCTAAAAATAACCTTGCTATTTTGAAGCCACCTGCTCTAGAGCTTTTCTCACTGCTTTCTTGGATAAATAACCCTCTCAGATGAGGGCTTGGCTGCCTCTGCCATCCCAGCTGTGTCCTCAGGGAGTGAGCTCCTTCCTGCCTCCCCCTCCCCCGTGCCAGCTGGGCTATTGTTTTCCAGCAATAAAGGAATGTCCAGCTGGGGAGCCTCTGAGAAGAGCCAGCCTGTCACCCTCCTCCTTGGGGGTTAGGGGCAGGTAGGAAGTGGAGCTCCGAGGGCCAGGGTGAGGCAGAGCCCCTATGCTTCTTGTTGTTGGGGGCATGCAGCTGCCAGAGGTGCAGGTGCCTGTCATGAAGCCACAGGTCAGACAGGGCTTGGGGACATGGGGATGGTCTGTGCTGCCTTCCTGTGCCCCTAGAGCTGGCCCTGAGTGTCCCTACCTCCTCTTCTTGCAGCCCACGACCCTCCCTCAGGGCACCATCAACATGAACCAGTGCACAGACGTGGTGGACGGAGAGGGACGGACAGGCCAGAAGTTCTCCCTGTGCATTCTGACCCCTGAGAAGGAGCATTTCATTCGGGCAGAGACCAAGGAGATCATCAGCGGGTGAGTCTGCTCCGTGCATTTTGGGAGTCGGTGCTCCCTGCCCACCGGCAGGTCCCTAGACTGGGTCCCTTTGGCATAAATGAGCAGCATTGCCATCATCTCTTCCCTAAGTGTGTCCGCTCTTCTGAGCCCCTTTCTCCATTCACAGCACTACTATGTGCCCACTTCACCCCCCATTGCCTTTGCTTCATCCCGTGTCCACACATTCACCAAGGCTACCCGCCTCAGTCCTGCTAATTCGAGGCCTTCTTCTGCTGGTGCTGCCCTGGTTCTGGGGCTGCCATATCTTCCAAAGCCTCTCACTGGCCTCCTCTGTTCTCACACCCTACCTTTTGCCACTCCACCAAAAGGGCTTAGTCCCCAAAGCACTGTTACTTTTCTCTCTCCTACCTGAAACCCAATCACCTGGAGGTCAAGTCCAAGTTCTTGGGCTGCCTGGGGCTCCTTCCCAGCCTTCCAGCCTCACTCCCACCACCCTGAGCCTGAGTGCTGGTTGCTGTACATTTCTCAGCTGTCCCCACCTCTGTGCCTTCACTCTGGCCCTCCCTCAGTCTGAAACAACCCCTGGACTTCAGACTGTTAAAGTCATCCTGCATGTTCCCTCTGCCAGGAAGCCCTCCCCGAGGAGGTGCTGGGCTCCCTCTGCTGGCCCTTACAGAAGATGGAGATGGTCTGTGTGACGTCTGGCTTCCTCAGCCAATGGCAGGCTCTTAACAGTGGAGGCTCTGTCTCACTCCTCGCGCCCACACAAGAGTCTCCAGGGCTGCTATGTGCCCTGGCTTCTCTGTCCAAGTGGAAGGAGGGAACAGAAAGTCTCTGGGTCATGCAGAGGCTTAGGGGAAACCCTAGGAAGGGGAAGGTGGGCCCAGGTTTTCAGGTAGCCAACAGCCAAGAGGGGCTGAGCTCCTGCTCCTGAACCCATGCAGTACCTGCCTTCCAGGAGCCCCTGCTAATGGGGCATCTGCTATCCGCTCTGTAAGGCCCAGCTGCACGTGGTGCATGCACAGCAAGTATATGTGGCTGGAGCTCAGGCCCTGGGTCTTGGAGAATCCCAGTCATCCTATAAGGTAGAGAAGGAAGCCGATGAGGCTGAGAAGGCTTTTGGAGGAGTAAATCTTGGGTTTAGTAGGACCAGGCTGATTACTGCAAAGTAGCAGGGATTAGAAAGTGAAGCCTTCTGGTTTCAACCACTGAACGACTTCTGTGAGCAGGGTCTGTGGGCTTCAGTACCTCAGCTATAGCCCTGGCCAAGGCTGCTGCTTGAAGAAACAAGAGCCAGGTTCAGATCTACACGTGGTAGGCGGGGAGTAGAAGGGCCAGGTGGCCCTCTGCTAGGGGTGCCAGCTCGCCCCAAATCCTCCTCCCCTGTAGAGAGGCAGGTTTGTGTTTCTAACCCCTGGGGCAAACAGGAGGACACTTTGACTCTGCGGCTCCCTGATCTTAACCCTACAGCCATATGATTTAAGGGTGTAAAGGGCTTTAACAGAGTCTTGTTACAGTTGGGAGACTGAGGCTCTGGGAATAAGGGAGCCTAAGGGCCCCTTCCAGGTATGAGTGACAGTATGGGGTAGTTTGCACTTCCTGGTTCACACTTGCTATCTTGATCTTGTCTGGCAAGCACACCTGAGCCAGGGTTCCACTGCCCAACTGGATGCCTTGGGAGATCTAGCCCCTCCCCTTGGGAGCTGGGTTCCAGAGACGGGTCTGGGTGACAGGCAGGATAAGAAAGGGGGCTGTTGGGTCTCCAGGTTAGGCTGGGGAGTGTGATTTGGGGAGCAGGTCAGTGAGGTAGTAGTGTGCTACCTGGCATTGGGGTGATGACGGTGTCTGGCATTTGATTGTGTCTCTGGCAGGCAGCCTACGTCCTGCTGTTAGACACTTGGCATAGGTCAGGGGTCCTTGGCTCTGCCCTAAGCCACCCTCTCATGGTCACTTCTGTCTGTGTATACGGGGCCTGCCATTTCCATGAAGCTTGGGTAGCCAAGGTGAATTGGGTGCCCAGACCCAACTCTAACGCCCCACACCAGCAAACAATTCCTGGACACCAGCACAGTGTCTAAGAGTTCACGCCTCTTCTGACACCTCTACTGGGGATAGATGGCATCAGATCCCACAGGGTGAGGACTCAGTCCCACAAGACTGCTCCCCACCCACCACACTCCCACGACCCCTCTTTGTGTTCAGTTCATTTGCTAGAATGGCTCACGAATTCAGAAAAAATGGTGGACTCACTAAATTATACTTATTACCAAGGATAGTAAAGGATCCACGCCCACAGCCAGATGAAGAGATGTGTAGGGCAAGGTCTCAAAGGAGTTTCTGTCCTCATGGAGCTTGCGACCCGCATGGCGGCATGGCACACGTTCTGGCTCCCAGCTGGCAAGCTCTCTGAACCCTGTCCTTTTGGGTTTATGAAGACTATTACATAGACCTGTTCTAGTTATTGATTCAACCTCCAGCCCCTCCCCCCTCCGTAAAGGTGGGGTTGTGAGACTGAAAGTGCCAACGCACTAATCATGTGGCTGGTTCTCCTGACAACCAGACCTATCCATAGGCGTTGCCCAAAGTCGCCCCACTAACATAACACAAGACACCTTGATAGCCCTTTCACTTAGGATATTCCATAGGTTTTGAGAGTGGTGAGCTAGGCATTGTGGACATAAACTAAATACACATGAGAAATCTATTTTCATCATCTGAGTGACCAAATATGTATTTGTTATAAATCACAATGATGCACAAGGTCATTAGTGGGGCCACGGCACCAGGCGTGTATGCCCCCAGGGTCCCCAGTGTAGCCATTTGTACACCATAAGCATCTGTAGATGCAAGCAGTGGACCTTTTTCAATTAAATTCAAAATATCGTGGCAGTTAACTGGGTAGACTGATCAGTCCTAAGGGCAGGGGGCTTGGAGGTGGCTCAGTGGCATATCCAGAGCCAAAATAACTCGTAACTGCTTTCCCCCTTCTGGTCCTAGGCCTTGACCTCTCCTTCTTGTCCAATGGGCAGGGCTCTCTCCAAGGCAGCCTGCCCCAGCCCCTGCAGGCCCTTGTAACTCTGGGCAGCATCTTCATCTTTCCCACCCACTGGGACACTCAGGCCTCCTTTAGAGTCAGGTGGGCGTGTGCCTGGAGATGGACTTTGGCACCCATCTTCTCTCCCTTCTCTGCCTCTCTCCTTCCAGAGGGACCCTCTTCCCTTGGTTTCCTCTCTGGCCTCCTGGGCCTTGCGACCTGTCAGGGCTCCTTTTCTGGGTAACGTCATCTGTGGGCTCGGGGCCCTACAATTGGTCTAAGTGCTTGGGTCCCTAAAGAGGTGCAGACACTTGCTTCTGGCTGGTGAGAAGAGCCGATGGCCCTTCAGCTTCTTTCCTGGTCTCCTCTGAGATGGGGCCTCCTGGACACCTGAGGCAACCAGGTCTTGCCTAGACTGGATGGAGGGTGGCCGTTCTTTCCCAGCTTCCTCATGCTGGGAGGGGACCTCCAGGGTGTTTGAGGCACCGTTTCACACAGCTCTCTTAGAGGTGGGAATAGACAAGGTGGGGGCAGAGGTAGGGTTAGGGTTAGGGTTCCAGTTCCTCTGTGCCCTCCAGCGGTGTCAGGATTTTCCCTTCTCACCTATCTCTGCCTTCAAAGTTGGGGACCACCTATGTCCCTAGTGCCCACATCCACCACTACTCCCATGTCCACATTCCCCCATCATCTCTCTTCCCTGGATATATTTTAACATTCATAACCTATCTGGATAATGTTAGACACATTAGCCTACTGGGCTTCCCTGAGAAATCTGAGTGCAAAGAACATATCTCATCATTTGTTTCAGGGCCAGGCATCTATGAACCTCTAGTCACAGCACCACCAACCAGGGACTAAAGTGCCTGGTGACCCTGGCCACCCTCACTTCGTGCTCACCTGAATCTCTGCCTCATTCTGGTTGGCAGGAGCTGCAGGCGCTCTGTTTAGTCAGCAGTGCAACCATAGTGCCCACCTCTCCTCTTCCCTCAAGGCCCTATCCTGCAAGACTCACATTTGCCCAGTTCCATGGTGTTGCCAGTTGACAGCAGCTGGGCCAGTGTACAGGGGCTCAGGGCACCCCAAAGGGCCTGCACCTCCCTACCATGTTCCCTGTGCTCCAGTCGACGTTTCTGAGTAGCCTCTCCTCCCTCCTAGGTTCAGCTAGGAGAGGGTCTTAGAGTGCCCCAAAAGAGCTTTCAGCCCCCAGGCAGCCTAGAAACCCCACAAGCATGTTAGCTGCTCAGGCTACCCGAGTGAGGCCCTTTGAGTCTGCCCTTCTGCTGGCTTTGCAGATGCAGCCATGGCCTCCTTTCTTGCTTTGGAGCTCACAGAAAAGTGACCTGCAGGGCCTGTGCCTCAGGCTCGAGGGCACAGGCAAGTGTGGATTCTCTCAACAAATCAAATGCTGCCTGCTCTGGGCTGAGTTGGGGTGAGGGGAGTCCCTCAGCTCAGATGCTGTGATTCCTCACACCCAAGCCCAAGCCCACTCTCCTGGCAGCAGCATACCTCCCAGAAGGCCACTGACTTGACCAGCCTCCCTGCACCCCAAATTAAAGAAGTGCCTCTGAGTGCTGAGACACCAGCCCTTCCCCCGGCCCCAGGCTTGGGGTGCTGGTCGTCACAGCAGCCTCCAGCCAGGTGCTGCCAGTGCAGACTTAACACGGACTTCCTCCCTAGTGTTCTGGGTGGAAGTGGACCAGTTTCCTCTGGTGCCATCTCCGCAAGTTCTCTTCCTGACCTCCGCTCCTCCTGTCCCCCTTCCTCCAACCCTCCCAAATGTTGCAAAGCTCCAATGAGGCAAGTTGTGGTCATATCGTGGCCTAATCTAGGCCCTGGTTTCAAAGATAATGGCTGAAGCTTAGAGGGCTGGGAGCCAGGCTGAAGCTTAGAGGGCTGGCTAGAGGGTAGCAGATCCAGATCTAAGCCCTCTGCTCTTCCTACTCTCCCCTGCTACCTTTCTTGATGCTGATCCAGCGTGGACTTTTTAGCATGGGGATCTTGCTGTGGGTCCCTGGGTGGCCCTGCCAGGGTTCCCCCAAGTCGAGGGGCCCAGTGCCCTCACTGTATAAGTGGGGCCAGAAGTGAGTGAGTGGTCTGGGAGGTCAGTGGCCTGATGTGGGGAACTTTGGTTGCAAGACTCCTTGTTTCCCGCTTTGAGAACTGTGCATGGCCCCCAGTCATAACAAATATGGGGCTAACCAAATCCATTCTAGAGGGTAGTTATAGAGCCAAGTGTAAGCACTGAAGGGAGGGCACTGATGGAAACAGTGGCGTGTCCTGCACTCTGAGGCCAGTGGTCCGCCTGCTGCTCTGCCACGGTGGCACTCACGTCCTCCCTGGGCCACCTGCACTGGCTGTTGCAGGGTCCGTACCCGAGCCTGGTCCTCACAGTCTGTGCTTGTCCTGGGCTGCGCTGCGGGCACTCTCTGCCCGGCAATGGCAGGCGCTGACCCTGTTCAGGTGCTCGGAGGCCTGGCCACTGAGTGAAGCATGGGACCTGCTTGGACCACTCAACAGGCAGGGTCCTAATCTCCGAGAACAGGGATCTGACTTGCTCTGTTCTCTTTTCTCCCCAGATGGCTAGAGATGCTCATGGTCTATCCCAGGACCAACAAGCAGAACCAGAAGAAGAAGCGGAAAGTGGAGCCTCCCACGCCACAGGTAGGCAGTGGTTTTGCCAGGTGGCTTCTCCCCGGTGGAGCTGGGGAGCAGGAAGAGCCCCTGGAAAGTGAGAGGGCCTCGGGGCCCAGCCCAAAACTGGAGGTGGAGGAAGGAGTCAGGTCAGGGCTGAGGCGGTCATCAGCCCAGTCTGCCTCCCTCCTTCCTTCTGATGACTTGGGGCTCCTCTCTGAGCCACAGGCAGGACCCACTACAGGGACAGGGCGGCCTGCTTGTGTGGTCGGGGCTTCCCCAGGAGTTTCCAGCCAGGAGGCAGGTGCTGAGGAGCAGCAGCACAGCATGTCCCTTTTCCTGGCTGTCCTGCCAGCTGCTGGGAACAGAGAGCATGCTCGGAGCGGCTGCTTGCCGCACAGCATTCCTCAGGGCCTCAGCTCAGTTCCACTTTCCACATAGAGAGGAGCCTGAAGACATCAGGCTGGGAACGGGGGCTGGGCAGGGAGGTCCTGGAGTGTCCTGGCCAAGTGAGGGGCTCTCAGGGGACCTTACTCCTGCTCTGGGCTTTGACCATAAATGGAAAAAACTGACGCTAGCCTTGATTTGAGTGCCCCTGCCCCACTCCCATGTGACCAGAGTGGGAGGGGCTGGGGTGTCTCACCAGTTCCAGTCCTTCCGCAGAGGTCACTGTCCTCCTCCTTCCCTCCCATCCACAGGGGCCCCAGGCCATGCTCCACACTCCTGAGGCCCTGGTGCAGCACATTCATCTTCCTGAGCCTCTGTGAATGGATTTGCACATGGGCCTGTTGAAATCTAGTTAGACTGTTAGTGTGACCATGAAAGAAAGTACTGGGCCCATTTTAGGTGCTTGGTAAATGTTCTTCTTTTCCTCTCTGCTCCAAACGTGACCATTACCAAGTGCTCTTGCCTTGCCTGATGGAGCCTTACAGTGACCCTAAGTGTGGGCAGGATGGAGAATGGGATCCCTTGGCATCTAGCAAGGCTCAGAGCCTGGCAGAGAGCCAGCCCATGGCAGAACCAGGCTACCTCTGAGGTTAGTAGTCCTCACTGTCTGCTCTCTGCTTCACCGAGTGACAGAAGTGGGCCTGGGCAGGACCAGGAGGTGTGTGCTGGCCTGGGTCCCTTTCTCCTCCACAATCCCCACACCTTCTGGGTTCCCCTGAACACGCATGAATTTCCATCGCTGACCCACTTCAGTAGAGGCTCATAGCTCTTGATCCGACCCTGAGAGCCGTCCAGTGCCCTCCATTCATCCTCCCCAAGGAGTCCCAGGCCAGCATCCCCTGGAAGTAATGTTGCTGGGGAAATTGGCAAGATGCCATCAGTCATTCCTGGACTGAAAGTGGAGCTTCCTGCTGGGGAGTAGCGGGTGTACACTCAAATCCCCCAACTGCCGGGCTTGAGAGGAACAATCCCAGGCAGAACAAGTGTCTAGGCTCTGCAGCATTCCCAAGGTAAGCCGCCATCTCCAAATAAGGCACTACGTGCGCAGAAGACACTGAGCCCAGCCCTTGGAATTCGGTGGTGTTCTTGTTCCCTAGCTGTTTCTCGCCCCGCCCCCAATGTTATCTCCACCCCCAATACTGCCAAGCTTCACCTTGTCAGTTCTCAGCAGGAGCCATGTGATCAGAGCTGGGGAAGTGACCCAGTTTCCTGAGGATCTTAGAGCCTGGGCTCCTTGGGGGCCAGTCTCCCACTCAGCCCCTCCCCTCGTGAGCCCTGGCAGAAGCCAGCTGGGGTGATCTCTTCCTTCTGCCGCTTGCTTTCCAGAGCATCACTGTTGAGGCCACTGGTTTCTGGAAGCCGTGAACATTGATCAGGGCCAGGCCCCGGAGGCAGTTCCATGGGGGATGTCGGCCTCTCCAGAGGAGAGTTGGGGCATCTCTGGGCAGGTTTTTCCTCCACGGCCTGATGCTAAAGGTATTCCAGTGACCCAGATGGGACTGAGGAAAGCCTATGCCATCAGGGCCTCATAGAGACAAGGACCCAGGGGCCTGGCCTGCCTCTCTATGGCCCGGGATAGTTTCAGGTCAGACCAGCGCGGAGCTGGAAACATTGCTCCGCTGCACCCTGCCCTCTGGCTACTGAGGCAGGAGCCCAGGGCTCCCCTCAAGAAGAGGGTCTCAGGCAGTTGGGAGTTGGGGCCATGGAATGTAGGCACCGAGGGGTTTGCTGAGAACATCAGAGGGAGAGAGAGGGAGAGGCCCAAGCCGGGCCCTGAGGGAGGATGAGGATTAGGCTGCAAGAAGGGCACACACCTCTTGGCCAGGGCTCAGGGCAAGAGGAGGAACAGGCTTGCCCTGACCAGAGCCTTTGAAGCCTGGGGCCTAATAGGCATGGGCTCCCAGGAACTGCTGCTTACTCGGGCCCTGTTCACTCCAAGAGGAATTCTCATGGTGCTGAGACACCTGGAGAAGGGACAGTAATCTACTCTGGGTATGACAGGGCAGGAAGGATGGAGATTTTACTGCCCTCTCCCCAAGTCCCAGAGTTGTGAGGCCAAGGGACACGTCTCCCAGCCAGGTGTGTGGGGGCTCGCTTTGTCAAGTGGAGCTTTGGGAGGCTGGTCCTTCAACTCCCCAGGCCCCAGGCTCTTGGTCCTTCCTCCTGCCTCCAGAGACCATATGAAATGTTAGAAAAGGAATGGCCCTCTTGGTCTAGCCTCCAGCCCATCCAGGGCAACGTGTGTGCTGTGAGTTGCCACCTCTGCTTCTTAGGCATCTTGTTTTCTACTTGGGAGCCTGCTCCTATGCCCTGCCCCAGCCAGAACCCTTCCTCCCACTCACTCTCCGTGCCCAGGAAGTGGAGAGGAAGGCTTTCGATGAAACCGCCTCCAAAGAGGGGTCTGCCCAGCCGTGTGGAGACAGAGGCCCTGGCTGGGCCCACCTTCCTCCCTGCTAGGGAACCCTCTAAGCAGCCAGGTACACAGCACAGACTCTCCTAGTGCTGACGTCCTGAGCACACAGCTGTCCAGCCACACAGGGACCAGTACCTGGAAAACTAGTGCTTCCACTCCTGCCTCTTGTCCTGGCAGCCGGGCTCTGGGTCAGCATGAGCCCAGTGCCCTCTGCCACAACGATGACAGTGTGGGAAGCAGAGGTTGGTGCCGTGCAGCCCTGGCCTGGCTTGTGCACGGTCTCAACTCTCTGAAGAAGAAAAGCGACTTCACCTGGAATCCGGGCTTCCCCACCGTCCACCCTCTCGTGGAAGCCAGCGTGGCTTTGTGCCTGCTGCACCTGCCCCCTGTCCCTGCTCACTCGGCACAGAGGCAGGAAAAAGCACCGCTGCCGAAGGAGGGAGAGAGCTCGTGTGGGCCTTGGCCACTGCCAGGGTCCTGTGCTCCCGGAGAACCCCCAGAAGCAGGAGCTCGGGCAGGGAGTGCAGCTGCCACCCGCGCTGCGCAAGTTGGGAGGCCCAGACTAGGAGACGGGTCTATAGCTGCTTAGTGCTGGGAAATGCATGTTCCCCGAGTTCCCGGACAGGGCCCCTCATATCTCAGGCCTGGAATTTTCTCTGTCTTAGGGATTCCTGCCACTCCACCCCCTCCCCAGTGCTAGGGTCACGGCCCCAAGCATCACAGGGCTGCCTGTGTGTCACAGGCACTCACCCACAGGATGGGGCCGAGGGCACTGGCAGTCAGGGCCACTTCCCTCGTTCGCTCTGTCGCCTGTTCCTTACCCTTGGGCTCTTCTTGACAACCTCTGCCTGCCCTGGTCTAGCACCCCCTCCACAGAGGGAGGCGATTCACCAAGGAGGGCCTCCCCTTACCGCACCCAGCTCTGCGGGAGGAATCCAGCTCCACCCGAGCCGTCAGCGCTGGTGCAGCCCTGGCCCAACTCAGAGTGGCATCTCCTTTAGAGAAGCTGGGCTGCGGAGCATGAAGCGAGGGCTGGGTGCTGGCTGAGGGGACAGGGAACCCTGGAGTCGGGTCTCCTTAGGTCAGTGGAGCCTCAGGAACTGTCAGAAACCATCCCTCCTCCGAGAAGGACCCTTCTTTTGAAGGAGTCAAAGTCTTGGGCATCTCCAGCCTAGGAATTGGGTCTGCTGGTAGTTCTGACTCAATGGGAGGTCATGTGCATCCTGGGTCTGCGGGGAAAGCCATCCTGGCTTCATCCGTCCTGTGAGGATGGTGCCTAGGCCTCTCAGTGGGGCCTCCAGGATACCCAGCCAAGGCACCACCCCTAATCCTGGGCCTTTCTCCTAAGCCTGGAACCACACTTTTCCCTTATTGGCTGAGCAAGCCTCCTCTCCCTCCCCTGTGAGGGGATTAGGGTGGACTGGATGTGGTGGTGCTGAGCCAGAGCCCACCACAAGTAGCTGTGGATCAATGACCACTGGTGGTTTCCTGTGGCTGCATGTGCACACATCCAGCCTGTGTCAGCCATCTGTAACCCTCGCAAGAGCCCCAAGTCAGAGACGGGTTGAAGTAGGTTTTTAAGAATGAGGCTTAGCCACCAGCATGGGAGTCGGAGAGTGTCCATTTGTACTTTATTGCCCATGTTTTGGGGGAGACAGTTAAGATATACCTCACTTTTGATAGTTCCCAAAGCCATCTAACCCTTCAGCAGCTGGCCCCCAGGACCATGGGCTGGGCAGGGGGCGTGGCCAGGATGTGAGCTGGCACTGCAGGATGCCACCCTGGTCTCACCTCCACCCTGGTCTCAGCTCTGGTTTGCAGTATTGCGTGAAGGTTCTCTGTGTGGTCCCTGTGTCGGCTCCCCCTCCCTTGTCTGGGCTCCAGGTTGCGGCCTGGAAGTTCCCTGTGGGCTCTGGAATGGACCCCCTGTGTCTAATGCATCCCGTAGGCATGCTTCCCCCACAGCAGCACCACTCCCGCCATGGGAGCGATGGGATGAGACTGTTCCCGTCTGGGCTCTGGGTTCCCATCAAACTTGTACGGGGGGGCTGGGCTGGGCAGGAGATTGTGAGCAGGTTTATGTTTGCATCTAATGACTTCTTCCTTTAAACCAGTGGTTCTCAACCTTCCTAATGCCGCGACACTTTAATACAGTTCCTCATGTTGTGGTGACCCCCAACCATAAAATTATTTTCATTGCTACTTCATAACTGTCATTTTGCTACTGTTATGAGTCATCATGTAAATATCTGATATGCAGGATATATTTTCATTGTTACAAATTGAACATAATTAAAGCATAGTGATTAATCAAAAAAACAATATGTAATTATTATATGTGTTTTCTGATGGTCTCAGGCGACCCCTGTGAAAGGGTCGTTTGACCCCCAAAGGGGTCGCGACTCACAGGTTGAGAACCGCTGCTTTAAACAGTATCCCAGGTTCATTTAAGCGCCCTAGGATCAAAAAGAAGAGGTAGGTGAGGCGAAGAGCTGGTCCTGGTGTGGATGCTGTGTGAATACATGCTTTTCATTCACCAGTGGGCCCATCTCAACGGTGTGTTCTTTCCTCACCTCGTCTCAGCTCCCCTCACTCTACCCTGAGCACCTGGAAGTCTGGGAATGACAGACTCTGAACCAATCACTTGGGGTCTGGTCTCTAATGCCTGGTCCACTGCTCTGGGCTGTCTGGTACTGTGGGCAGGGAGAACTTGCATGTGTTTGGCATTGAGGATATGAGCCTTTGCACCATGCATTTGCCAACCCTGGCCTGAGGCCCAGGCGGCCGAGCACTTGGGGAGAAAAGGCCATATCGCCATCCAGAAGGAGCTTCTCACCTGACCAAGACACCTTTCTTTTGTGAGCCTTTCCTTTTGGGAATTCTGGGCCTCTGACATTGTCTCGTTGTTCGTGGTGTCCCCTTAGCCAGACACTCAGGCCCCCAGCCTTCTGCACTAGCTCGGCTGTGTGCTCTCTCCCCAGGAGCCAGGGCCAGCCAAGATGGCCGTCACCAGCAGCAGCAGCATCCCCAGCGCCGAGAAAGTCCCCACCACCAAGTCTACACTCTGGCAGGAAGAAATGAGGGCCAAGGACCAGCCAGAGGAGAGCAGCCTGAGTCCAGCTCAGAGTCCCAGCCAGAGTCAGCCTCCTGCTACCAATGCCCTGAGGGAACCTGGGCTGGAGGGTGAAGATGGTAAGTGATGGCCAGGTTGGCGCAAGTGCCCGCCTGTCCTGGTGCCCTTCTCACAGTGCTGGAAGGCCTCTGAACAGCGCTGGCCCTGCTTAGGTCAGCCGTGAGTCCCACCTTCAGGCTCTCTCACCTCCTATGTCCATCAGTCCTGGCAGGGCCTGAGCTGGTGTGGGACTGGGAGCCCGGGCTCCAGCCTTGCCCATCCAGCTCGGGAGGCCTGTCTCTAAAGGAGGATAGCACGTGCTGCGTTAGCCCTGGGTGGGTGTTGTGAGAGTCAAAATGCTCTATCAGGAGTTCTGTATGTGAGGAGGCCCGTTTCCTGCCCCTTGTGCTGCTTTGTCTTCATGGCAAGTTAACCCCAAAAGTCCACTGTGTCCCTGAGAGCAGCAGCAGGAAGGGTTGTCTTCTCCTCACCATCCCCATGCTGCCAGGACCCGGGGAAGCAGGGGAGAGGGTGCTGGGGAAGAAGCCGTTGACCTCCCATGCTTTCTCCACTTAGCACTTGGCCTGAGCAAAGCCAGGCACGGCCTCTGCCTCCTTGTGCAAGCCCTGGACGGCTCTGGAGGACGCGGGCTGGCTCTTCCTATTTGTGCTTGTCCTGATCAGTGAAGACAAGTGGGCAGTTGGGACTGACCCAGCTCTGAGCAGAAGTTGCCTCCATTCTCATTTGGTAGCACACACCCAGTCTGTCTAAATTCCTTCACTCCTCTGGTTTCTCTACAAGCCTTTTGCCCCTTCCCTTCCCAAATATACTAGTATGCTAAAAGACGAAATGGCTAGTTGGTTTTGTTTCCCTATCTAGCAGAAATCACTGATGGTAAGAAAAAGCTATTTGATATACAAAAGTCAGAAAGAAAAGGGTCCTGCTCTTCCAGTCAAGCTCCCAGGCTGGAAGGGGAGAGCCTCCCTGGCTGTCTGCCACGAGGCAGCCAGGCAGGGGGAGGACGAGGCACAGCGGGAAGGAGCTGTATCCCCACCGCCTCCTTGGGGAACCACATGGGCCTTGGGAGGTGAAAGCAGAGAGGCCTCTGTTTGGACCTGTGTGGGCTTGGAGAAAACATCCTCAGGAACCCAGCGTGGCAGCAGGCTGAGTGTGTCTCCTACCCCCTCGCTTCCAGAGGAGAGCGCCATGAGCAGTGACCGCATGGACTGTGGCCGCAAAGTCCGGGTGGAGAGTGGCTACTTCTCCCTGGAGAAGACCAAGCAGGACTTGAAGGCCGAGGAGCATCCACTGCCCCAGCCGGTCTCCCCTCCCAGCCCCAGCACCCCCAACAACAGGTACAGTGGCCCTGGATCGCCCTCCCAGGAGCTTGGTCATCCCTTTCCTTCTCCAGGTTCTCAACCCTTGCGTCGAATGGTCTGCAGCAGCTCCCTCAGCTCTCTGGATGTGGCCAGCCAGCCTCCCGCTCATGTGGACTCCAGCAGCCCGGGGGGGCGGGGAGCAGAGAGACTGGGGTGCACCTTTGCCTTTAAAGCCAGCAGGCAGTATGCCGCCCTGGCCGACGTCCCTAAGGCCATCAGGATCAGCCACCGAGAAGCCTTCCAGGTGGAGAGAAGGCGGTTGGAGCGTAGGACTCGGGCCCGGAGCCCTGGCAGGGAAGAGGTGGCCCGTCTGTTTGGCTACGAGCGGAGGTAAGGAGGGAATTGGAGGGCTGAATGCATATGCACACACAGGCACACAGACCCCCTCCTCCCCACACAGACACATGTCTCTCCTGCACACTCTCACATTTTCTCTTACACACGTCCTCACACCTAGTCTCATACACTTACATACTGTTACGTACTCATGCAGTCTTCTCACAGTTTCTTTCACATTGTCCTCTCCCTCCCTGCCTCCCCTCCGCATACACACCCCTGTTTCCTGAGCACACTCAGAGCATGTGGGAGCCTTTCCCTCCTGACCCTGTGCTCTGGTTCCAGAACTCAGCTCGTGGGGGTTAGAATGTAGGATCTCTGGGTACCCAGAGGCTGAGGCCAGGAGCCAGCTGCTCCCCATGAGTGCTGCTTAGCCTGGGACCTAGAGGCCTCTGGGAGGGTCCTCAGCTGCCAGGCCTTGTGTGGCTGGATCTTTTCCTTCCTGGCCCAATTCTGATCTCTAAAGAGACAGTGGAGGCAGGAAGACCACAGAGGTGCAGGTGGGAGCAGGAACTCTCTTTGCCATTCCCAGGTGCAGGTGTGGAGGAAGGGCAGGGAAGGGGCCATGCCCAGGGGGTGAGGTGGCAGCGTAGTTCTTCCCGGCAGCACTTGCTTGATTCCATCTCTGAGGCCGCACCTCTGTCTGCACCAGCGCGCCCGAGTGCCCCTCCCATATAAGAGCTTCCACCTACGTCTGTGAGGAGGAGCCTTTGCCTCTCTGCTTGCCCAACAACAGGGTTCTCACCCAGATCACTGTTAGGATGCTGGTGCTCACGGACCCTCTAAACCATTTGAAAGTCTGTGAAAAAAATGTTTCCCAGTGAAAAAAATTCATAGTTTTTATTAGGTTCCCAAAGAAGTTCACTTTCCAGAAAAGTTCCAGAAGTGTTTACAGTGTCCTCACTGTCCCACCAAAGCCTAAGTAAGGCTCAGAGTTGAGGCCTGCTGTGGGGACAGGCCAGGGTGGCAGTGGGCTCCCCTAAGAGGCTGGACCCGGAATAAGGTGCCTTTCTCTTGTGCTCCCTTCTCTTTTTCACACCTCCGCACTCTCCACATGCACCAGGCAGAAAGGACCTGTGCACCTGTGGATTAACCCCCAGAATAAAGAAAAGACCCCCAGAGTGGTTGGTCTTGAAAGAGAAGAAAACAGAATATTCCTAATTCCAAGAGACAGTTGGCTGGTTTCCTATCTCATTAGTAACCCCATGAGGTACCTGTGCCAGCATCCCAGTGTGTAGATGGAGAGAGAGGGGCTCAGAAGCAGGTGACTCCCCTGGGAACAGCTGGAGCAGTGGACCAACCCACTGGAACCTGAGCTGGGAAGGCCCTGCTCCCATGGCATGCCTGGGGCTGTCCTTTAAGCAGTTAAGGAAATATATAACTGAAGGGACTTGTCATGGGTTTAGGAGGCCAACCGCCAGGGTGGGAATGGCTCCGCGCTGACCTGTGGGCAGGCTGCGAGTTGGGAAGGCGCTCGTGGGGCAGCCAGGCCCTGGTTCAGTGGCAGACCAGAGAATTAACATTCAGCTCACCTGCTTGGCTTTGAACTCATTCTGATCTAGAGGCCTGGGGTTGGCAGCATCTCTGGGGCTTTGCTTTTTGCATGCTCTTTGCTACCGTGGGTTTTTACCTGGTGTTGGCACCCCTGGGACCCAACCGGCTCTGCACCCTAACACTGTAACGTCACTTTCTTACTGGCCCTGATGGCATCTGACTGGCTGCTGTCACTTCCCCAGGCCTGCTCTCTGGTCCTGAGTGGCTGGCCTGTGCTTGGTTGATTCCTCTCCCTGGTAGAGTGAGTAGCACCCCACGTTGGCAGTGTCAGCCTCAGCTACCCAGAGGGCACTGAGCCAGGCCTGCCAGAGGCCAGGTTGGGGGGTGATGAGTCGGTTTCCTGAAAAGTTACGGCCCTGAAGCAGTCCTCTGGGCTGATCAGCTCTGCTCTCAGACTTGCTCCCCAGCCTTTAGAACATTTCTTGCATAGTGAGCTGCTGCTGAGCGAGCGTGGTGCTTGCTGAGCTGTTGGTGACTCACACAGGGCCCGCTCCGGTCAGTCCTGCACCCTGGGCTGAGAGTCCAGAGAGGTTGACAGAGGTGCAGCGCCCCCTTCCTGTGCTGTCAGCCAGCACAGGGCAGAGTTGTCACGTAGGCAGCACTTCAAGGGACCCAAGTTAAAAACTTCCCAGTGTGCAAAGTAAACATGGCCGACTTCAGAGCCTATCCATGTGGAGAGGCTGCAGACAGGCCTCTGTCCTGTCCCTCAGGGACTCCTCCTCCTGCGGTCCTGGCGGGTCTGCAGCAGGCGGTCACATGACTTGGCCCAGCGCTGCGCCTGGGGCCTCCCTGAGGCTCCCTGGGGCTTCCTGGGCCTTGGCCTCAGTGGGTGGGGCTCTCCTTCAGCAAGTGGTGGCACTGAGGCCTCGGAGGGGCCTGGAACCTTATCCGACCTCACGGGGTGGTCAGGCATGGGGGAAGCATCACCCCCCACCAGGCGAGCCTTTGCAAGAGCTTCCTATGGTCCTGGGAACTCCTGCCTCTCCTGTAGCTTCCTGTGTTCAGACGCCTGCCCTCTCTCGCTGCTGTCCCTCAGCCTCCTGCACTGCTGGTCTGGCAGGCTGGCCAGGGAGAAGTTTTGTGTCTGGAGGGGACGCCACAGAAGCTCAGTGCACTGGGGCTCCCACTCTAATCGTGGTGGATCAGAGGGTGCAGGTGCCCCAAGTGCTGCCCTTGGTGTTAAGCCTTCCTTGATAAAGAAACCCTAAAATACCACGTTTAATGGAAACCCTCCCTTGAAGAAAGCTGGCCGGGTGAGGGCGGGGTCTCAGGTTTGAGGCTGCTTCCTCTCTGCTTCCCTAGAGAGGTGACTGCAGTCTCTCGGCTCAGAGCCCTTTCCTCTCTCCCCTTGGCTCTGTCACTTGTCCAGAATGCACACCCTCCCTAAGAGGCACCTCTGGCACTTGCCTGGGTCCCTGTGGGAGGACAGGCCTCTGGCCCTGTAGCCGCCAGCGTTCATTCCCAGGCCCCTGGTGCGCCCTCCCTGCCACGCCCACGGTGCAAACTCCTCGTGACTCCGGGAGGAAGGTGGTCTGCCCTCCTCAGTGTCACCTCGGGTTTTGTTTCTTTAATTCTTTGACTAATTTTGATTTACCATTATTTGATTTAAAAATCAGCCCTTTCTGTTTATTTATTCTTCAGCCTTATTTTCTTTCAGGTCTTGCCCCTCTCCACCTTCTCCTGCTGTGTCGCTGTGTGACGTTACTCGCCCTTCCTCCGCTGCTTCGCTCCCATCTCAGCTCCGTCTCCAGCCATAGATGGCCTGATGATGCCGCCGGCCTTTCACATGAAATCAACTTGCTTTGTTTTGTTTTAATTTGTTTTTTGATTCTTTTTACTGTTGGCAGAACAATGTTAATTCATGGGCCTTTTTCTTGCTCAATTTTGGACTTTTGGGGTGGAGGCTACATTATGATCTGCTAGGCACTCAGTGAGGATGGGCGTCCGTCCCCTCCACGTGGTGATGCCTTCTGATCATGTCTGCTCAGGAGAGGACGCTGCTGACGGGCTGTGTGGTTGCCGAGTGTGTCATCACAACAGATCATTAGGGACCTCCAATGTTGGCGGTGTGGGGGTGGGGGAAGCGAGCTGCTGCCCGACCCTGCACAGCTCCACCCTTTGCAGTGGGGAGAGGGAGCTCAGGGGGGGTGTCAGAGCCAGGTGTACTGTGCACAGCCTACACCTTGCAGAAGGGGAGGCCCAGGGAAGGCTGGGGTGGGCCAATGTGAGGGGTGCCTGAAGGAGCCTCTCTGCAACTTGAAAACAAGCCCACCTTGTTCTGGGGTGACCCTGTCTCCCCCCAGCAGCCTCCTGTCCTTTCTTGCAGGAGGTCTCAGGTCATCGAGAAATTTGAAGCCTTGGACATTGAGAAGGCAGAGCACATGGAGACCAACTTGCCAGCGGGGCACTCGCCATCAAGTGACACGCGCCAGGGCCGCAGTGAGAAGAGGGCGTTCCCTAGGAAGCGGGTGAGCTCTGGGTGGGACACAGGCCCACCCTCTCTGAGCCCCACACATACCCTGACACGCTTCTGCTGGGCTCCCCATTCTCCGTTCACAGTCGTTTGCTTGGGTCTCTCGTCTCCTCCAATTAGTGACCTTCTTAAAGAAGAGCCTGCCTCTCTGCTCTTCCTATCAGAACTTGTCCATCTCTGCTGGAGGCCACTCTACGGCCATGAGGTCCCTGGTGGGACCAAGAGCCTCTCTTCCTCTCTGCGGCAGCCCGGCCACAAGGCCGGGCACCTCTTGCCTCTCTTTCAAGTGGCAGCCACAGCCCTCCTTTCTCCATGCCACAGGGTGGACTCCTCCCAGTCCTCCTGAGCTGCCCACCGCCTTGTGGCCTTGCCGTGTCTGATCTTCATCTTCCTCCTCAGATTTTCTCTGGGCCCCTGAGGCGACCTGCTGCTCTGCTGGCAGCCATGTAACTCGGGGCTCTTCCTTCTGTGACCCCAAGAAGCAGGGGTGGGCGGGACCAGGACTGATAGTGACTGGTGTCTGGAAGACAAGGCTGCTCCACCAGCCTGGGCATCGCCGATCCCACTGCCGGAAGCAAAGCAGAAGGCGCTGGACGGAAGTCTGCACGCAGGCTCCTGTCCTCTGTCCGCAAAAGCTGCCTCACTTGGGAACAAGGTCCCTACAGTCCTGACCCTTCCACAGCTCTGGTTGCCGGACTCCCTGCTTCCTGCCCGAGTTGACAGTACTGACTGGCGGCTACTCTCTGCCACAGGACCTCCCCAGTGAAGCCCCCACAGCTCCTCTCCCGGACGCCTCAGCCTCCCCCCTGTCTCCACACCGAAGAGCCAAGTCACTGGACAGGAGGTCCATGGAGTCCTCACTGACGGTGAGCCCAGGCGCCCAAACACCATGGCCTGGAGGTGCTGCTCCTGCTGCTTCTGTCACTTGAGGTCACTGTCTGCTGCTGTCCGTGCATCTGTGCTGGAGCTCCCCTCTGCACGGCCCTCATGTCTGACGGAATCAGCTGCTCTGTTTCTTTCCCTTTCCTGGGCTTTGTGGACACCCTGAGCTCTGAGGTCTCGTGGAGGTGGCCACCTGGCCAGGGCAGTAGAATCTTGATTGCAAGGGATCAGAGCCAAAGCAAAGAACCCCTGTTCTTCTTATTTGGGGTTTGTTTCTGTGACATTTTGGAGACAGGAGCCCCTCTGGTTGGGGTTTCCCCACAGAGGGAGAATAGGCCCTTGCTCAGGTCGGTTGAGCTGAGCAGTGGGGGTGCAGGTAAGGAGTGATCAGAGCGAGTCCAGGTGGCACCATCACTCCCACCAGCAGCGACAGGTCTGAAGCCCTGGGGGTTGGCCTGGGGCTCCTCTCGGCCTTTGTCTTTTGCCCCCTGAGGAGCCCAGGGCTGGTGTCCCCATTTTCCCACCGGGGTGTTGAGCCACCAGCCCGATTGAGAGGAAACTTTGATGCAAGGACAGGAGGTTTATCTGAGGAAGTTTTACTTTTTCTTGAGTTCTGAGTTTTGCTCCAGGGTTTGGAGCAGAGACTCCCGGGACAGGTGTTGTTGGTCACTGTCCTGCCCTGCACATCTGTTCTCTCTGACTCCTCCCAGTCCCTGGAATACAGGAAGACACCACAGCCTGTTTCTGCTCAAGATGGTGGTAGAAAAGCAGAGAGCAGGTGGGGTGAAAGGAAGGCTGATCCGTGTCCCTCTGAGGTACCAGCTGTAAGGGGTACTAGGCATAACACACAGGCAGGGGCCGGGTGGGCTGCAGGGATCCCAGCGGGAGTGTGGACAGCACAGGGCAGGAGGGACCAGCAGGGATAGCTCTTCGTTCCAGCCCCACTGGTGGTCCTGCACCCCTGCTTCATTGTCCGTTGTCCT